AATGCTTACTGATACGTTTTTCTGGAGTATGTGATTTATAATATTGACTCACCTTGATCATTTAATTCTTTTAGAACTTAGTTTAGGAGTCATGATAAACTTTTATTTTCTGTTGTGCTAAGTTAAGCTTTATTGTGGGTAAGTAAATGAGTGTTTACTAGCATAATTGCATTGGTATATGCAAACTGTGTGTGGACAAGGTCTCATTCGTGGCTGTGTATCCTCTACGTAGCCATTTTCTTTTCCCATTTTCAAATTTTGAAGGACAGGCGCTCTTTCTCATGTTCCTTTTCTCTAGCCTTAGTAGAGCTGTCAAGTGAACGATAATTGAACACAGGCTTGTCCTTACAATAATTTGTTGTCTCTAACTTGTTTTAGGCAGTGGAGGGGAAAAAAGTCCATCCCCCTAGAAGGGGGAGGCAAAGTGGCAAGACCTTCCCATCTCCTCTCCTCTCAGTCTATTCCACCTACCTCACTGTGCACAAACTGTGTCGGAACACCCCGAATTGATTAGTTCTGGAAGGTCATGCCTTAGGTACTCATCGTGACTTTAATGTTTTTGGTTTCAAATGCTTTTATTGCATCTCATGAGGTCTAGAAACTTCTGTTTAAATAGCATGACTCCAGGAGTTGTGCTGTTTTTTGACTGCCTCAGGGCTGAAATATCTTTCCCAACCAAAAGAGGCATTAGTTAAATTTACTCTATAGCTCCAGTCTGCCTGTTTCTTCCTAGACTTCTTTCCAGACTGGAGAGGATTGCACACCTCCCCCTTTATCAGTTCTCAATTTTTTTTTCCCTCCAGCTCCAACATATATATTTGTTTCTCCCATGTCTTTCCTCTTTAAACTGCACAAGAAAGACTTTGAGTTTGGGAGAAAGAAGAGAGAGGAACCAAAATTTTTCTTACAGTCTTTCCAGCCAGTTTACAGGTAAGCAGAAGAAACATCTTCCACAGAACCAACTGGATGAGCACAAGATTTTTGCTTACAGACTCTAATATGAGTTCCTTTAGATTGCTTTTTGCAGTAGCTCAGATGGTGGATTTTTTGCTCTACAAGCAGTTTCCATGCTGTGCTGTTCTAGTGGCTTTTCCCTCCTACCAAGGAAAGATTTATTGCTATTACATTAGATTGAAATTAGTTAGAGTCCTATTAACACTTGTTTTGATGCATGTATCTATGTGCTTTGACCAGTCGCAATAAAACCATGACAAAAAGTCACAGGTTTAAACGGGAAAAAATCAGGTGGCAGAGTTCAACAATTTCTAATTTTAGCAATAAAGAATATCACCTGATCCTGTGGCCTAGCAGAAGCTGTCTGAAACATCAACCTGGGGAAACTTCTTTTTATTTTTTTCCTCTTCCTTTTATTTTTTAATTTTTTTCCTCTTCTTTTTATTTTTTTATTTTTTTCCCTTTTATTTTATCTTCTTTACATTGGTTCATTCATTCGTGTCCTTCTTACAGAGAAGACAAATTGCTTTCTGTCAGACTTCACATCAACCCTGGAAGTTGCTACAGATTAACCTTGTACTTTGTTACTGTCCAAAACCAAGCCAAGCGAACAATGCAAACATTCTAACTTCACAGAAATAGCATGACTTTATTTTTCTTTTTAATGAACAAACAAATAAGGTCACTAATTTTTCTGGTTACTGAGGTATTGCCTCTACAAACTCTTATTTCAATTCATCTACATCACGCAAACATCAAGCTTAATTTTTTCCTACTTGTAGCTATATAAAACTGAAAGATTACCAATGACATCAAAGAATCTGGTGGTCTTTCTGGCCGTGTTTGTCAAATAGGAATGTTCTTGGTCATTCTTCGGGTTTTGATTATTCTTCTGGGCTTCATCACCTTGAGGGTCAAAACCATAATGTCTTATCTTCTGTATCAGGACTGTTTTCTTAGAAAAAAGAAAACAGAACTAGAAACTGCCTTTTCTGTCCCATTTGGGAACTTATATTTGAAAGAAGGAACTTGTGGTACGTTGCAGTAGATCAATTCTTTTTGTAGAAAGCCTTCCCTCTCAATTTGGAAAGCTGGTTCTCCAAAAGCAATGCCTTAGTATTGATCTCTTGAATTCCAAGCTGACTACCTGGTATTTTCATCGCTGGCTATCTCTTTGGTACTATGTAGTGATGAAGTGATAACCGTGTAGTTAAAGCAGTGATAAAAACTCAATTTCTTTGAATATGGAAGAGACTTGACAAGTTGAACCCAACTGAAAGTGTAGGACACTTTTGCTCTAAAGTTGCTGAGACACTTCTGATGATAACTTCCTTTTATTGACTTTGGCTTAAAAGCAGTAACCGCTGACCAATGGAGCCTGAATTTTCATAATTTTCAGGAGGGAAGGAGAGGTGCTGAATGCTAATATTGTTCTTGCTTATAATTGCTCCCAGGAATGGGTGCATTTGTGTAGAATTAGATTGGAGAGCTGAGATGTTTAGATCATTTTGTAACAGCTCCATGTCTGCCATAGACAGATCCATGATTAGATAAATCCCTTATTGACAGATGTTTTTCCAGGTTTCTTCTGATTGGTAGTGTTGTCAGTAATCAATACCATTAGGCAGGATGCCTAAGAGTACAGTATTGGAACAGCAGAACGTTAATGGCATTTCTCGTTATGGAGCGCTACCTGAACGCTATCAAAGTAGATAAACGTTCCCATCTGATTTCGAGGGGCACACAGTCTAGGTTAGTCACAAGCAGTATTTGGTAACATTGGCAATTTTGTATAGTATCTTATTTTATTTATTCTAGATTGTCATTATGGTGCATACTGAAAAAAATACGGTTTGTTGTTTAAAGGCACTATTAACATAGAGGACCCTGCTTTCATTGCTTTTTTGAAGCAATACTGCTCCCAAAGTGTTGAGAGCTTTTCTATTTCCAGAAAGATTGTTTTTCACAATCCTCAAAGATGCAAATGACAATGTTTTTAAACTTTAATTCTAAACTTGCATGTTTGTGGTTGTATGTGAGAAATGATGACATCGGTTAACATCGTTTTTTGTTGCAGTAGCAGTTTTCATTTTCAGCCAGATAAAAATGAGGCTGTGCTTTCAGTGTTTGTATTTTTCTTTTGTTTTTCCTCTTTTTTTTTTTTTAATAAAAACTTCTGCGCTCCTATTCTGGTCTGCTTTGTCATCTCATGGACCTGGTGTATTTCATATTCTACTAATTTTGTAATGTAAGTAATTTAACCATTGCTTAATATTGAATGAGATGGAAGTAGTTGGTGATGAATAGGTAAATTACCTCAAATGCTACCAGTTTGGTAAAGCTGGCAACTTAGAAGTTTCTTATTGATAAATCACATGATGATTGTCAAGGTTTACAACTTCTGCCTAATTTGAATTAAAAGCTGTGCAACAGATGGATAAAGTACCAAATATGTATGTGTGTGTGTGTATATATACACACACACACACACATTCCCTTTTTTAACTGTAAGTTTTATGATATACCAACTGGCATAAGATGATCAGCAATCTTAGGATTTTGTCATAATAAAACATTGTTATCCTAGTGTTTGATCTGAGTTTCAGCTCCATTCTTCAGCTAACAGCCAATTTCTACCAGAAATTTTAGTATCGTTCCTAACGTATCCTTGGATTGTTGCATTCTGATGTCCTGAAGATTATTATTTCCGTTCGAATAAGAACTTGACACCTGTTGAAACTTAGTGGGATGACGACGAAACAAGCCCAGGAATATCCCTGTTCTACCACTGGATGTAAATGTTGCCTCAATGAGAATAATTCATATTTTAAGCAAACAAAACATATCTCCACAGAAATATTAGCATCAAACCTGGTTAGTTTCACCAGGTGGAATTAACTTGACAGTGCATATAAGATCTTAGTCTTAAATATCTGTGAATATTAACATAATTTTATATTCATCATACAAGTGTATCTTCTTGTCAGCTATTTACAATAGATGCATGAGAACTTGTTTGTTCTATCATGTGGTTACCCCAGAGCCACTAACCCAGTATTTGTGTGTGTGCCGGGGGGTATGTGTTAGTTTTTACTTCAGGATCTACTCTTTGCAGCGGTAATCTTTATGCTGCAGCTGTGCCAAAGTACTTAAGAGAACTAGGCAGAATTATAAGGGAAGATGGCTATGGGAGTGGTATAGGGTATGAGACTAATTACCTACCTAGCATAGAAAAAGGACACTTCTTAAAATTTGAAGTTGCCTCCTTCCATTTGTTCTGCACTTTACCTGCCATTGCTTTCATGACTGTGTTTCCCTTCTGCAAGAAAAAGTATAGAAACTAGGAATAAACCTGAGATCTCTCACCCTTCCCACCACCTGCAGTATAATTAGTCGACATCTGATATCCATGTCTTGTCATCTGCAGATCACGTAAATGAGGATCTTAGGATAAGAGCAATCTTCTGTTGAATGCCTGTATAGTAGGAACCAGGATGCCCAGTCTGTAGATTCGGCATCAGAATCGTGTGACTGACTAATGATTTTTGAGCACTTTTGTGTGTATGGAGGTAAGAACTGATACTGTTTCTGACTGAGGGTTTCAGGGCTCACGGATTTCAAATTTTTCTAGCAGCTGAACGTTCCTATTAAGAAGATAGGATATAACTTTAGCAAGTGGTAAAATCTTGTAATCTTAAGTGTGGGATGACAGTTGACCACTGGCCGCGTTCTTCTTGTTTGTCTTGGGCATGTTTAAAGCTGCTACTTCTGAGGGAATTCTTTCCTTCGGCTGCTTTCAATTTGGGATTGAAGATAAAGGGAAATCTTCAAGATACCGTATTTCAGTATACCTGTCATGTTAGAGTCCTGATAGGAGTCAGCTCAGATGGGGAGATTAAAAAAAAATGCTAATCAGGCCAAAGAGAATTTTGCAAGAAGAGCAGCTGTGGGAGGAGGAATTAAAAAGAAGGAGAAACGAGACCTCTGCTCCAGTAACAGCGTGAACTTCCTTTTCTCCTGTTTCAGTCACAGAGCGTTTCTTTGCAGCTAATCAGCTCATGTTTTGGCCCAGTAGCGTTCATGAGATTTAATACTTAAGTCTTAAGAGAGATATGTATATTGGTTATCTTAGGGATGTGCCTGCGCTTCTAATTAGTATGCGGATGAATTGCTCCTGCCTATTTCTGGTATGTAAGTGTGTGCTGCGTATTGGTCTGTCTGTCTGTTTGCTTCTTAACTTGACATAATATCCAGCAGCAATACAAGGTACAGTAGATTGCCTTATGAGCAGAATTGGATTTTTCAGCAAGGGCATTCTTAGGCTATAAATAGCCTTTTTATATTAGTTCTGTTATGATAACTCCTATTACTGATTGCATTAAGACCTTGAGTTTGTGAACAGCTGCAAGCACTTGATAATGATACCGAATGGTATCAAATGTTGAGTAAACAGGCTGGAAGTTTCAAGAATTTCTCATAATCACTAGTATTTACTGCTGTAGTGAGGGGGAAGCGCATAAAATATGAGGGTTTTCTTATGACTCAGTTGACAGAACTTTGTTGTATCAGTGTGCTTTTCGATGTGCCTTAAGCCTGTTTTGTGCAAATGGGCAGTTGCAAAGTTTTTCAAGGAGTGTACGTAACAAGGATTTAAGATTCTGCAAGTTTACGAGGAGAACTGGTAAGGGTGGAAAGAGGCGTTACGCTCTCTGATGTTGAGAAATTTAGAGTTGCATTAAAGAACAGCATTCAGCTTTTTCCATTGTCTAAGTTCAGATGTCCCTGCAGTGTTAACACTTCCATAATCATTTGAGGGAAGATAAATAATCTGGTAAGAGGAGAAGAGAATATTTTTGTCACGCTGGTGTGATTTTTATTTTTTGGCTTTTCTCTAACATAAACAAGTTTCTCCGCGATTAGCGAGATGTTGTATTATGATGCAGGAATATTCTCTGTCATTTTGGGAAGCAGACAAGATCCAAAATCCTGTCACGCTCTGGCACCCAGTGTATACTAGACACCAGGCTAAAGAAAAAGTTTCCATGTCCTGGTTTTCATTCTTCAATTTTGTTCCCATAGTTGTAATTTTTGACTGGTAGCACTTAATAATACATCTGACAGTTCTCATGAAGCTACATTTTTGAAGTAATTTTTTATTCAAAATTTTCTAAAGGGATTTTTGTATGTGTGTCTGACCTGTCCAGGAGGGAACAGCTATCCAATTTCAGATTGTCTTGGAAAGCGGTTTTACTTCTGCTTTAGATTGTTTTTGTGAAAACAGAATTGTGATAAGATGTTCATTTTCTGATTAAAACCTGAATTGCTCAGTTAGGGTAGAGCTGGGAGAGAGAAAAGTCTTTTGGACTTCTCAAAAAGGGAAAAAATACATGCTTTACAGAGTTGAAGATTAATGCCCTGGTTTGTGGTGTTGAAGGTTTAAATCCTTTCCTCAATTTGAAATGATCTGGATTGAAACTCCCTGCTTTAAATTGAGCAGAGCTGGCTCTCTTTTGTGTTTCAGCAACCAACAATTCTGGAAGACAAAGGGATATTTCACAGCTGAAAACATTAATTTGTAGTATTCTGGTAGGCTGTAGTCCTGGATTAGCAACTTTTGCAAGGGTGAATCACTTAGAGCTTACTGTTTCCAGATACTCCGAGCGTGGAGCTTTCAAAGGAAGTTTGTGTGTGCTACCTTCTCTGGGCAATGGGATTCATTTTTATCCAAGTGTCCACAAAACTATTTATTAATGTGATCCTAGGATAATATTCTTCTCATTCATGGAAAAGAGGAGCAATGAAGAAATGGATATGCTGTGATTTTGTTTTGTTTTCTTAAAATATGATCACAAATGAGTTGGAAGGATTTTGGAAAAACGCTCCTTTTCAGTTACTTAGAAAGTTTTGCACTTTGTCCTTTGTACTTCTACTTATGAGACAGTGACCTTACTGAATAATGCTTAAGATTAAACATTAATAATTCTTCAAGTAAGTCAAGTACCCAGCAGGAGTTTTGTAACGTTGTTCTTCTTGTAGTAGGTGGTGGGAAACAGATAGAAGATTTATAGATATGAAAGGTAGTGGCAACTCCTGTAATGTTTCTGTTATACTTTGGCACTAGATGGCCAAAGCTGATGTGAGGAATGTAAACCTTAGGGAAAACTGGATTATACAGTTGCTGTGTCAAATCAAGCCCTATAGAAGACATAAGATATTCTAAAGGAATTGGGGCTAGTGAATGATAAATTCATCTTAGTTGACGTGTTGCTAATCTGGGATGGAGACACTGCAAGTCCTGAATAAACAGAAACTATTCAGCTTTTCAGGCCTAAAGGAGGGGGATTCGTAGGATAACTGCAAATAAACAACATGTAAGGCGGAGGGGAGGAGAGGAATGAGTCATTCTAGGCTTCTTCTAGAGAAATATTGTGGAAAAGTGGTGAAAAAACACTTCTAACCCTTGTATATGGGCTTATGCATTGGTACAAAGCTTGTTTGGCTTTCTGCTGTTCACTTCCAAAACTCTTTCAGCAGTGTTACTGTTTTGAAGTAGGCGTTGTGTTTACCCAAGTACCAAAATCATGGCCTGGGAAATTGTTTGTGTAGACTCCCCTGAATGAGATTGAAGAGGATATCTACTGTTGTGACTCCAAGACAAGGGAAAATACATTTCTAAATCAGGCCAAGCAGAAGTGTTTCCTGACTGAACAAACAGTGAGGAAAATAACTTGTTCACGGAGCTCTCTTGCTTGCCTGACTCTCTGCTATCGTTGGTTGATTTCCGTCTATTAGTGACGTGAGAGGACCCACTGTTTCTCAAATGAAACTAGCCTCTTCAGAAGAGTGACCTGTGAGGACCTTAAAATTCAAGCCAGTGATTCAGCTATGGAACCAAGAAGCTGCTTTATGTGTCCTGGTCCACTCACTTTCTTCCTGCAACCTGTACTTCTTCTTGCTTTGGCTCCATGTATATTACTGAACACGTTTTCCTCTGATAAATTAAGATGATAAATATTTGTCTTCTAGTACAACCAGCTTGTAAACTTACTGTCAGAAAGTACACACTCTGAGAATTTCCATCTGAGAATCTTGTTTTATGTATGCATAAGGGTCAGTTTGACCCAGTCATATCATAGCTCTAAATGGGGGAAGAAGGAAGCTGACACTCGGGTTTGTTGTTCAGGGATAGCATTAAAAAGAACGGGTTCATAGTTCATGCGGTACGTGTTCCTTTGCCAGCAAGAGGATAGCAATCCAGTGAGAACTATGAAATGACAAATTTGGAGATGGTTTTTCAGTGCAGGGTTTGGAATCTAAGGTTATCTTAGTTTGCCCTTAAACTGCTCTGACATGATGTGTTCCTTGTAAGGCATAGCTCATACATGAAAAGGCCAAAAGAGGAAGAGCTGAAACTATGAAATGTGCTGTTTCTTTTTTGTGCCACGTGAGTCTGTTATAATAGGAAAAGTTAGTAAGAGGATAATTGTATAAAGAGGCAGAATAAGAAAGATGATCATGGTTCAAACTTCATTGGAAGTCCCTAGAGACGCATGTTGCTTTACAGGTACTGTATCCTGTCTTAGTGCAGCTGCTTCTGCAAAGAAATTAGTTATTATCAACCCTGTAAGAAGTTGTACTGTATGCTATGTTGGAGGAATAAGACCTTGTTACATTTCTTTGTATCGGTGTTGTGGGAGTAGAGAAGCAACAAGTGACCCACCAAACTTTGAATTTTTTGATTTTTGTTTTAATTTTTTCTGTGGGCTGGTCCTGTTTCAGTTATAAAGAAAACAGTTATTTGGCAGACCTGTGCGACTGCGCCTATGTGAAAAATACCCTGTATATGTTTCTGCAGTCACCTTGATGGTGTAACTGATTCTTCTAATAGAGACAGAAATGACTGACAGAAAGTGCAGATAGCGCAACGGATAACTTACCTGACTTTACGTTGCTCTTGTGTAATAATCTTCCACCTTAGCTGATGGAAAAACAATACAAGTACAAAAAGCAGAACTTTGCAGACAAGAGCATCAAAGTTATTAACCTCAATGAATATAATAACTTCTCTTGAAATTTTTTTTCTATCTACAGAGACAAAAGCAGAGTTTGATTTTGCCCTTGTTGCCTATAATGCCCACATTCCTGTTATATCTGGCGGAGCCAGGAATAAAATCAGCTGTTGTGACTCCTTATCCAGTGCCTTAAGTACAACACTGACCTTCCTCTACTAGCAGGGTATCTCTATTTCATACATTGTTATAAAACCTTAGTTGGAGCTACTAACTCTTACTAAGAGCTTTTCAATCCTTGCCCGTGTAATTTAGTCACACTTTCTTTAGTGGCATGAAGTATGAAAAGTTTATATTTTAAAGTATCTGAAAAGTATCTGCACAGTGTTCCCAGAACTGTAGCTGGTGACCTAGTGACAAAAATAGGAGTGAAAAGCTGCATGAACATATTAACTTTACGCAGCTCTCAAGCAAGTGGGCTGCATCTGATTTCCTTCCTGTCTACAACCAACAGAACTGTTTGCAAACCGGTTGTGGACAAGCTAAATCTTCTGCTCGCAGAGAGTAAAGCTTTCAAAGCCTCTGTTTCTCACATTTATCAGTAGAACTGTTGACTGGAAGGTGGTGAGGTGACTCTTCAGGGTTTGCGCTTAGAAGTTGAGAGATGTCTGTTTATTTTATTTTTGTATTAAATCAGTATTTGTGAAATTTAAGATATGAAAGTATTCCTCAATATCATTTTTAGCATTCCTTGGTGCAACTGATGTGTACCGTCATTAGTCTACTTAAATGAGTGAGGTGTTTTTGTTTAAAATCAAATCAAATCTGAATAATGGCTTTTTGTTACAATATCAGACATAGCACTTAGGCGTTTGCTTACTTTCCAGATAGGCCTGGCTTCTAAAGCTGCCTGGAGCAGATAAAATACAGATAGTCTCACTTTGGAAAATAATCCTCTGCTTCACCTTGCAGACAAATAGGTCAATATTATTCATAGAACAAAAAGCTGCACGTGCTTTGCAAGAGGCAAGGACCTTCAATACCCATGGGAAAGGTAAAATGGCTTGGGTTATTTTTTTTTTCCCTATCCAAATGTAGTCACTAATAAGCCAAGGTTTACAATTGTTCTCCAAATATTCTTCCATAAGATCCAAGGAAAAAAGACTGTAGAGAGAATT